ATAACAAGTTTTGTACAGCCTCATTTTCTCCTCAATTTTTTTCTTTGTTTGATTAGATTCTGGCAAACAGTCTAGTTCTTTAAATCTTTTTGGATCCCAGATTTATCGTTTCAAATGTTGGCTATCTCCTATCTTCATGTCATTTGAGATTGAATAAGCTTTTTGCCTGTGCTGTTGTCCAAGCTTGATAGGTGTTAAATAGATCAGAGGTAAGGACAGATCTTTGAGGCTGTCCAAAAGAGACTTCTGTACAAAAAGATATCTCAGATTGGGGAGCTAATCAATGGGTGCAGCCACTCAGACAGCTACACACATGGCATCTCTGATACAGATGAAATGTTTCCATCATGTTCACAAGAATAACATGAATTTTTGTCAAATGTTTGGCTAAAATGGAGGTACTCTGGAGGTGATCAGTGGATTCTTTCAATTTCTATTTTCTTTGATAACTTTTTGAAAGATGATGTCTTGGCTCTTTTTTTGATCATGGCTTTCAGATAGTCCAATAATTTTTAAATTACCAATCCTGGATCTATTTTCCATGTCAATTGTTTTTCCAATGAGATATTTCACATTGTCTTCTATTTTTTCATTCTTTTGGTTTTATTTTACAATGTTTTGATTTTTCATAAGGTCACTAGCTTCCAATTGCTCCATTCTAATTTTTAAGGAAGTATTTTCTTCAATGAGATTCTGGACTTCCTTTTCCATTTGGCCAGTTCTGCTTTTTAAGGCATTCTCCTCATTGGCTTTTTGGACCTCTTTTGCCATTTCAGTTAGGCTATTTTTTAAGGTGTTATTTTCTTCAGTATTTTTGGGGGTCTCCTTTAGCGAACTGTTGACTTCTTTTTCATAATTTTATTGCATCACTCTCATTTCTTTTCCCAGTTTTTCCTCTACTTCACTTACTTGCTTCTCAAAATCCTTTTTGAGCTCTTCCATGGCCTGGGACTGATTCATATTTTTCTTGGAGGCTTTGGATGTAGGAGCTTTGACTTTGTTGTCTTCTTCTGGTTGTATGTTTTGATCTTCTTTTCACCAAAGAAAGATTGTATGGTCTGACTTATTTTTTGCACAGTTTGCTAATGATTCCAGCCAATTACTTGAATTATAAACTCTTTGTTAAGGTAGGGTTCTGTTTCCAGTGTGGAGAATGTACTGTCCCAAGCTTCAGGGGTTTTGTGCAGCTGTTTTCAGAAATACTTCTATAGGGACCTGTAAATTTTCAGTTCTTCCAAAATGGTACAGTCAAGGGTGAGGTGTTTACTTCTTTCCTGGCTTGTGCTCTGGTCAATGAGTGGCCACAAGTGCTCTTTTCTGCCTTGGAACTGCGAAGACGATTCCCTCTGTACAGGCACTACAAGCTCCACCATGCCAATGCTCCTTCTTACCCCAGGATCTCTACCGAAAACAGCAACCCAGATCCAAGCACTGGCAAAGCAAGAGAATCGTACCTCAGCACCGGCAAAGATATCCCTGCAGTCCCCCTCTTATTAGCCACTGGATTCCCCCTCAGTCTGTGGGCCAGAAGCTCCAGAGGCAGCCACCACTCTGGGCCCACTCAGTGGCTGAGACTGGTACTGAGCTTCTCTCTCCCCGCAGTCACAGACCTTTCATACTGACCTTCTAAGTTGTCTTTGGAGTTTGTGGTTTGAGAAGTCTGGAAACCACCCTTGATTCAGTCCTCTGAGACCTGCTCCAGGTTGGCTGAGGCCTGTTTTGCCTACATGCCCATGCTGAGCTTCATTTCTCTCCCAGCCTAGTGTGATGAACCTTTCTAATCAATCATCCAGGTTGTCTTGGGCTGAAAATTTGGTTCACTTTTCTTTTTGCGGGTTCTATTGCTTTAAAATTGGTTTATAGTCATTTTTTACAGGTATTTGGAGGGGTTTGGGGGAGAGCTCAAGGAAGTCACTGATTTTACTCCTCCATCTTGGCTCTGCCTCTAGAACTCAAACTTTTAAAAACAAATGTTAAAAATTGTTTTAACTTGCAACTAGGAAATAAGATACACAGGCAATGGGGTATAGAAATCTATCTTACCCTACAGGGAAATAGAAGGGGAAGAGGATAAGAGAAGGTAGGGAGTGATAGAAGAGAGGGCAGATTGAGAGAAAGGGTAATCAGAATGCATGCAGTCATGGGGTTGGAGAGGGGAGAGATGAGAAAATTTGGAACTCAAAATCTTGTGAAAATGAATGTTGAAAACTAAAAATAAACTAATTGGACAAAAAATTTTAAAAAGTATTAAAATTTTTACATCTTAACTATATGTATATATATATATTTAAATCAAGTACCTCTTTTTCTATATCTTTTTTTTCCCCATTTGATCAATTCTCCTTTTTAAGGCATTCTTCTCTTCATTGGAATTGTATTTTTGTCTTGAAATAATTTTTTTTTGACCATTTGGCCTATTCTGTTTTTTTAAGATGTTCTCTTCAATTTTTTTAATGTGTCATTTACCAAGCTATAGACTTTCTTCCTGATTTTCTAGTATCACTCTCATTTCTTTTTCCCATTTTTTCCTCTATCACCCTTACTTGATTTTTAAAATCCTTTTTGAACTCTTCAACGGCTTGAAGTCAATTCATATTTTTCTTTGACACTTTGGGTGTAGGAGTTTTGACTTTGTTGTCTTCTTTTGAGTGTGTGTTTTGATCTTCCCTGTCATCCTGGTGGCTTTCTCTAGTCAGGATCATTTTCTGTTTGCTCATTTACCAGCCTATTTCTTGACTTTTAACTCTATACTAAAGTGACATTCTGCTTCCAGAGTGAAGGGGGCACCATCCCAAGCCCCAGGACTTTTTGTGTGGCTTTTTTCAGAGGTAATTCTGGAGACCTGTAAGTTATTGGTTGTTCCAAGTTGGTATGATCTAGGGAATGTTGTTTTTACTACTCTCCTGGACTGTGCACTGGTCTGTGAGTGACCATAAGCACTGTTTTCCACCATGGAACTGTGACCCAGGTCCCCACTCCCTTGTAGCAATAAGCTCTACTGTCTAGAGCTCCTTCCCGCTCTGAGACTGAGACCTAGGACTGTGACCCAAATTCAAGTATGGGCAATACAACAGAGTCTTGCCTCACCCAGCGCCAGCCAAGGGACCCCTGTAATCCCCTTCTGAGCAGTTGTCCAGCCCCTTTACTGTCTTGTTGGCTGAGAGGTCTGGAAACCACCACTGCTGCCACTGATTCCCCGCAAGGGAATTCCCCCTCTTGGTCTCTGAGGCCCCATCTATGCTGGAGGGGCCTGTGCTGGACTGTACTCTGCTCTCACCGTGGTGCAACAGACCTGTCGTACTGACATTCTAAGTTGTCTTGTGCAGGAAGATTATTTCACTTCATCTTTTTGTGGGTTCTACCACCCTCAAATTAGTTTTGGGCAATTATTTAAAGGTATTTGGAGTTGTTTGCAGGAGAGCTTAGGCAAGTTCCTGCCTTTTCTCTGTCATCTTGGCTCTGTCCCCCCGGACAAGTTTGTTTAGTGGAGGTGGGAGACACAAAATGGATGCCTTAGAAATTTTGATCATATTAGTAATACAGTGAATAGAAATCAACTAGGTAAGTATAGGGGTCATGAATCAGAGTGTGTGTGTGTGTGTGTGTGTGTGTGTGTGTAGTCAGAGAATTAGGGCAAGAAATTCTCCCTAGAAAGGGGCACAAAATGAAATTTGAAAAATCTAAAGAATAGAATTAGCTAAAGAGGAGAAGAGGAAACTATTTGACTGAAGAGAAAATAAAAGAGGGAAAGAATTAAATAATCTGATAAAAGCAAGAGAAAGGAGTAACAAATTGGAAGGAGATAAGAGAGCAAAGGGTAAAGAGCCAATGAGAATAGAGCCAATGTACAAAAACTGAGTGAAAATAACTGAAAGGACATGGCACTGTTTACAGAAGAATGGAAGAATAATAACTTGAAAAGTATATGACATAATGGAGGAAATTATAAACCTAACTCCCAAAACTTTAAATGTAATTGGATTGTACATCCAATAAAATGAAAAGGAAAGAAGAATTAGATAAGAAAATAAGACATTGCTTCAGATATAATAAACAAAAGATATACACACAAATGGAGCATTATCTGTGAAATCCTAAATAATGAGTGGGTCAAAGAAAAAATCCTAGGAACAATTAATATTTGTGGAAAAGAAAATTATAATGATAAAACAATGTACCAAATGTCAAGGGTTTTGTGTCTAAAATATATGTAGATATCTATATTTCTATATATCTATATATTTTTAGATATCTAGGTCTAAATTTAGATATAGGTATATCTATAGATTTAGATATATCTATAGAAATAGAGATATTTATATATCTAGATCTTGATCTGTCTATGTATTGATATGTATAAAAAGGTATCTGTCTAGCTATAAATTATATATAAGTATATATAATATATGTGTGTGCATGTATATGTAAACACACTTATATCTAGCACTTAACATCATTCCTGACATGTAGTAGATGCCTGATAAATGTTCATTTGTTGAATATTTCTGAATATTTTGTTGTATAAATATTGCTTAATATACTATTTGTAGAATATGTGTGTATTTCCCCTGTTTCCAATAGAATGTAACATATCGTATCATATCAGCAACTACATCTCTGAGGATAAAAATTTGAAGTAGACATTTAAAAGCGGAAGAATTGGCATCATTAGATGGATACCTTTCTTTCAGTTAGGTACATGTTTCTTCCATAGGATATAGAAAGAAAAATTTTTCGACTTAAAAATTGATGATAAATCATTAATTTTTTTGGGAATTAATGAGGGCGTAAACATCAGTATGACTCAAGTTTATTGTGAGAAATTAATTAAAATAAGAAAAACAGATTACTTTGTTTAATTGATTAGTGTGCATAATAATATATGTATACATGTACATATATATGTGTGTGTGTGTGTATATATATATATATATATACACACACACACGCACACACACACACACTAACATAAGCTTGTATTTTTTTTTTATATTCTGTAGTTTCTAAGGTCTCAGAAGAAAGGACTATAAATCAAGAAATCGACCTTAATGTTATAATGCCAGTGATCAAAGTTCATATGTCTCTACCTTCCATTTTTAAGTATTCTTCAAAACCTAAAGAGATAGAAGAAGAACTCTACCACCGTCCAGTTTACCGATTATGTCATTTTTTTGATGGCCAATCTAAATTCAAAATTAGCCATCGATTGGAAAGAGATAAGAAGAAAGATGCTACTAGGCCACATGGCGTTATTGACTTTTCCCCACTTTATAGTATTGATAGACAGTATAGAAAGAGGGAAAAGATGCAAAATTTCCAAAATAAAAAACAGTATGTAGCCATGATCCATTTTGCTGATGAAATGGCTAATGAAAATTTTCAAGAATATATTCAAGAGAAAAACTACTTTATTAAAAAAAGGAATAAAGACCAAAGCAAGAAAATTGAAGAAAGTTTGCAAAAGTATCAAGAGACCACATCAAAACTGATGGAAAAATTCCAAGAAAGGAGAAGTTGCTTTCTAGAAGAAGTTAAATTCAAAGCACAAGAGCGTCTGATGGTGGAAGATATAAGTAATCAGCTCACCACACTGACAAAGGAGCTGTTTCAGTTTGACAGATACAAGAGGAAACAAGATGTTGTGAAGAAGAACAGGAGCATTGCGAAGGAAATAAGGGAAACAGATAAATATCACAAGGAATTAATTAAAAAAATGAAGAAAGGGAGGTAGGTGTGATTTTGATACAGTGCACTCTGTGTAAGATGCTTTGAGGATGAATGGGTGCTATGGATTGATTTCTTTACCTTTCTCTGAATTTTTATGTAATAAGCAGTGGTCTCGACATTTTATGAAATAAGTTAATGTTTGCAAAGTGTTTTGCAAATATTAAAGTGTTATGCAAATGTTAGCTATTATTATTAGCTATTATTACAGAATATTGACTTATTTTTTTCAGGCCCTAAATAAGAAATGGCATATAAATGTAGAAACATACATATATACATGAATACCATATATATATAAATGTGTATATAAATACATTACATACATATCTATGCATCTATGTATATCACACACATACCCACAATGCCCCAAAAGTCTTGGTGCAGTTTAAAGCTTTATAGCTAAAAATGCCTCCTAAATCTAGGAAGCTTACAACTCTGTGAAGATGTTTGAAGCACCATGTGTCCAAAAGGTTGGACACAAACATTTTATTATGAATTTAAGTTAAGAATGATTTTGTGTGAGTCACTTTAAAGTTGATTCCATGTAAGGGAGCCAATATGGCTGAGCAAAAGTAGGGACTCACCTGAGCTCTCCCCCAAAACCCCTCCAAATACTTTTAAATAATGACTCTAAACAAATTCTAGCACTGCAGAACCCAGAACAAGTGCAACAGTTGTCCAGCCCAAGACAACTTAGAAGGTCAGCAAGAAAGGTCTGTTGCACCAGGATGAAAAAGCAGTGCAGTTGAGAGAGTCCAATACAGGCCAAAGCAGAGCAGACTGAGCCCTACTAAACCAGGGGTAACTCTATGGGTGACCGAATCGGTGGCAGCAGTGGTGGCTTCTTGACCTCTCAGCCCACAGCCTCCAGGTCAGTAGGAAAGGTCTGTCACACCTGGGTGAGAGTGGAGTGCAGTCCAACCCAGACCTCACCAACACAGTCCTGGCCACAGCAAACCAGGAGCAGGCCTTGGGAGCCACTGAAATAGTAGCAGCAGCAACTGCTTCTGGAGCTTGCCACCCATAGACAGTAAGGGGGAAGAAGAACAACTGGTCAGAAGGAGATTTCAGGGGTCTCTTTGCTAGCACTGAGGCAGGACTCTGTTCCTTTGCCCATCCTCAGATCTGAGTGGGAGTCCTGGGTGGCAGCAGTCCCAGGGTGAGAGTGAGCACTGGCATAGCAAAGCTGGTGACCACAGTGGAGAGGGAGCCCTCATCACAGTTCCAGAGCAGAAAACAGTGCTTGTCGGTTGCTCATAGACCAGAGCACAGGCCAGGACAGAAGCAAAAACATCTCCTTAGATAATACCACCTTGGAAGGACTGAGAACTTCCAGGTCACTACAAGAATCTCTGAAAACAGGTGCACAAAAACCCTGAAGCTTGGGACAGTGCACCTTCTGCCCTGAGAGCACAGCCCTACTTTAACAAAGGATTAAAAGTCAAACAGTAGGCTGGGGAAATGAGCAAACAACAGAAAGAAAGAAAAACAACTTTGACTATACAAAGTTACTATGGTAACAAGGCAGATAAAATCACACATCTGAAGAAAACAAAGTCAAAGTTCCTATATCCAAAGCCCCCAAGAAAAAATATGATTTGGTTTCAGGCCATGGAAGAGCTCATAAAGGAGTTTAAAAATCAAGTAAGAGAGCTAGAGGATAAATTGGGAAGATAAATGAGAATGGTGCAAGAAAATCATGAAAACGGAGTCAACAGTTTGGTGAAGGAGACACAAAAAATACGGATGAAAATAACATCTTAAAAACAGATGAGGACAGATGGTAAGAGGTACAAAAAGCTGTTGAGGAGAACAATGCCTCAAAAAGCAGAATTGGCCAAGTGGAATAAAAAAAGGCACAGAATTCACCGAAGAAAAAGCTCCTTAAAAAGTAGCATTGACTAAATGGATAAGGAGGTACAAAAGGTCACTAAAGAAAATAATTTCTTAAAAATTAGAATTGAGCAAATGGAAGGTAATGACTATGAGAAATCAAGAAACAATAAAACAAAACCAAAAGAATTTAAAAAAATAGAAGATACTATGAAATATCTTATGGGCAAAAAAAAAGGGGAAAAAAACTGACCTAGAAAATAGATCCAGGAGAGAGAATTTAAAAATTATTGGACTAACTGAAAGCCATGATTGAAAAAAAAAAAAAAGAAGCAGCCTTGGCATCATCTTTCAGGAAATTATCAAGGAAAACTGACCCGATATTCTAGAACCAGAGGGTAAAATAGAAATGGAAAGAATTCACTGATTGCCTTCTAAAAGAGATCCCAAAAATCAAAATTCCCAGGAATATTCTGGCCAAATTATAGAGCTCTCAGGTCAAGGAAAAAAAATATTTCAAGCAGCCAGAAAGAAACAATTCAAGTATCATGGAGCCACAATCAGGATGACACAAGATTTACCAGCTTCTACATTAAAGGATTGGATGGCTTAGAATAGGATATTTCAGAGGTCAAAGAAACTAGGATTACAACCAAGAATCACCTGAGTATAATCCTTCAGGGGAAAGAATTGATATTCAATGAACTAAAGTACTTTCAATCATTCTTGATGAAAAGACCAGAGTTTGAAAATTTGACTTTCAAATACAAGATTCAGGAGAAGCATAGAAAGGTAAACAGGAAAGGGAAATCATAAAGGACTTAATAAGGTTAAATGGTTTATATTGCTACATGGGAAGATGATACTGGTAACTCATAGGTACTTTTTTTCCCTTTATTACGGCAGTTAGAAGGAGTATATATAGACAGAGGAGATAGATGTGAATTGAATATGAAGTCATGATATCTAAAAAAAAAATGAGGGATGAGAGAGGAATGTACTGGGAGGAAGGGAAAGGGAGAGGTTGAATAGGGTAAATTATCTGACATAAAAGAGGTAAGAAGCAGCTTTTACAGTGGAGGGGAAGAGGGGAAACTTAGAGGGAATGAGTGAAATTTAATCTCTTTGGAATTGGCTCAAACGCCAAATAACTTACACAACCAACTGGGTAATTTTGAATCAAGTTTATATGATAAAGGTCTATGTCAAATATATAAAGAAGTGAGTCAAATTTATAAAAATAAAAGCCATTCCCCAATTGATAAATGATCAAAATAATTGAACAGTTTTCAGATGAAGTAATCACAGCTGTCTATTGCCATATGAAAAAAGGCTCTCACTCACTGTTGATTGAAGAAACGTAAATAAAAATGATTCTGAGGTACTGCCTCATACCTATTAGATTAGTTAATAAGACAAAAAAGGAAAATGACAAATGTTGGATGTGGGAAAACTGGGACACTCTTGCATCATTGGTGGAGTTGTGAACTGACTCATTCATTCTGTAGAGCAATTTGGAACTATGCCCAAAGGGCTATAAAACGATATGTATCCTTTGACCTAGCACTACTAGATCTGTATCCCAAAAGAAATAAAAAAAAAAGGGGGAAAGGAACTATATGTGCAAAAATATTTATAGAAGGTCTTTTCGGGTGGCAAAGAATTGAAAACTGAGGGGTTGCCCATCAATTAGGGAATGGCTTGAACAAATTGTGGTATGTGATTATGATGGAATACTATTATGTTATAAGAAATGATGAGCAGGATGCTCAGAAAACCTGGAAAAACTTACATGAGCTGATGCAAAATGAAATATACTGTGTACAAAGTAACAGTAATATTGTAAGATGATCAGTTGAGTGACTTAACTGTTCTCATTAATACAGTGATTGAAGACAACTCTGAAGGACTTGTGATGAAAACTGCTATCCTTCCCCAGAGGAAGAACTGATGGTGTGTGAATACAGAGTGAAACATATATATATATACACACACACACACACACACACACACACACACACACACACACATATACACACACACACACACACACACACACATATATATATATATATATAGTAACACTCCTGTACATTTAGCTGTCTTTTTTTTTGTTAGTAAAACTATCACTCTGTGCCTGTGGTGTTCTCAACAAAAAGGCCAAAAAAAAAAACAATAACAACTTTAGATATTCTTTTTCTTGGTTTATTTTAAAAATCCTTATTGATAAAATTTGTTTTTACATTATGTTTTTTACATAACTTTCTCTTTAACTCCTGCCTAAAAAGCCATACCTTGCAACAAATAATTTTAAAAGAGGAAAGAAAAAAACCCCAGCAAATTCCGCCCACACATCAACCTAATCTGACAGTGTATGCAGTATTCATCACCAATATCACCTTACATCTGTAAGGATAATAATAAAATACAAATTATTTTCAACTTGTCTCCTGATCCAAGATTTGTGGAGATTATAATTATACAGAGCTCCATTTCTTTATTTCTTTTTCCCTTCTCTCTTTCCATTTGCCTTGTTTTCTTCATTGTATATATTGTATGTTATTTATCTGAGCCTTCTTCACTCTGCATCAGTTTAAATAAATCCTCTAATACTTTTTAAATTCTCCATAGCTTTGTTTCTTCTACTAATTATCTTTGTGTTACAATCATGTGTTATAATTAACTTGTTACAATGTATTTAGTAATTGTTCAATCAATGGGCATCTGATTTGTTTCTAATTTTCTTCTACCAACAGAAAAAAAAGTTTATTCTGTTATCATCTTCTAATAAATGAGTGTTTTTATATCTTTCTTTCCATTGCTTAATGTAGTTATGAGCATGGGATAACAATTATGTCTATTTTTCTGTTATGGTCATGTCAGAAGAGGAAGAGCTCACAGAGTGAATGTGCTTCGGAGAAGGACAAGGAATTTGAGCTAGGCATCAAACTCAATCTGGGATTTGAGATATTTAGAAAGGGAGAGCAAAGTGTTCCAGGTGGGGAGAAGAGTTTGAGTACTGTTCAAGATGGGGAAAGTAGGACTAGCAGTGCATCTAAAAAAAAAAAAATCAGGAGTTTTATTGGCCTCTCAGTTCCCTTTAAGGAAACACTATGATGTGGCAGCAAAGGAAGTAGATGTGGCCCGAGGCTATATTAAGAGAGAAG